CACACACACACACACACACACACACACACAGGTATTATCTATTGAAACACAAATCAGGGGAGCTTTTCACCTATCCAAGTGTTTGGAATTGGGTAAATCCATTACTCGAGGGTAACAAATGTCTTCAGAGGCCAAAACAGAAATATCATTCAGGTGAGGTGAGACAGAAGGGTGTGGTTGCAATTGCTGAAATGAGAGAGCAAGTGAGATGATTAAAGGCATTAGGCTTCAGAGATTTTCTTCCCCAGAATGATTATCCCAAGTGTCAGATAGATGACTTCTTGTTTTAGGTCGCTAAATATTTCCATACACTTTACTCTTTGTCTAAGATTTTTTTTAAAAAAAAAAAAAAGAAGAAGCCACCTCGTTTCATGAATTTTGCATTTCCCTGTCTCTGGGGCAGTGATTTCTCATTGCAATTTGGCCTTCTGCTTTTAAAAAGCAGATTTATAAACCAGATTAATATGAGTCCATTCCTGAAAGGTGGATTCACACTTGATGTGCAGAGAAATCAAGTCTCTAAGCCTGATTTACTCCATCTACCATCCTATGAGTTCTCAGGAGACTTAATATATCTCTTCTTTGTGAACATGAAGTGTACATCATTTCTTTGTGGAGGGCAAATATGTTTTTCTTATTTGTTATATGCTGATAACTTCTAAATTTGTCACTGGAGGTCAGAACTCTCATTAGACAACCAGATCCAGTGCCCAGCACTACCATTTACTAGCTGTCATGACATGAGAAATTATTTAACCTCTTTAAGCCTCAATCTCTTTCTCTGCAAAATAAAGACGTTTTAAAGACCATGTATCAAGTTTATTGTGAAGGTGATTTGATTTGTTACACTTTTTATTTTTATTCATTGGTTTCTTATTTGCAGCACTGGGGAATGAACTCACGGCCTCATGCATGCTAGACAAGTGCTCTATCACTGAGCTACTTCTCAACGCTTTTTATTTTTTAATTTGAGAGAGGATCTCACTAAGTTCCCTGGGCTGACCTCAGTCTCTGGAATAAGTGGGAGTATAGGTGTGAACCACCATGCCCAGCAGTGACACATTTTAAATTGTAAACATATAATGAATTTTAAGAATTGTCAGACACTCAATAGATAAATAGGTAGAGGGCACAATCATATAATCTATCATAGAGAACTGCAAATGTTTGTTTAGACATGTGAAAAACATTTGCCCCCATGGTAATATGAGCTACGTAATATATATTGTTATTTATCTCTAGCTCAGTCAACTCCCACTAGTTCCTCATTCAAATGTCCAATTGCTCATTTGATGTCTCCACTTGAATATTGTTTTAGTCTATTTTCTGCTGCTATAAGAAAATGTCAGGCTGAATAAACTATAAACAATAGGCATTTATTAGGTTCATGGTTCTAGAGGCTGGTAAGTCCAAGGGTATGGCATGACATCTCACAAGAGCAGAGAGAGTATAAATATGCAAGATGGTGGGGTGGGGCAGAATTTATAACACACACACCTAAACCTCTCCCACAATAGCAACCTTAATCCATTCAGGAGGGCAGAGTCACCCCTTAAAGGCTTCACTTCTCACCTGTTAAAATAATGATTAAATTTCAATATGAACTTTCATAGCGCATAATCTACTAGCATTTTAGTTCTGTTCCAAACTGAATCTTTGATTCGCTCCCTCTTTCCCATAGGCCTGCTCTTCTCTTATCTCAATTAAATACATTATGCTCATCAGAAAAAAAAATAGCTAGAAATCATAATTGACTTTTCTCCTTCCTAGTCCTTCCACGCACACTCTGTCAACAAGTTGGATTTGGGGGTGGTACATGTATCTAAGTGCCAGAAGGAAGTTACCTGGTAAAATGCCTCAGGAAGCTAGAGTAGGCAGACACTTTCTCTTTTGCTTCACACACACACACACAAAAAAAAAAAAAAAAAAAAAAGAAAGAAAGAAATTCACTCTTCTAGAAGCTCACCTCCCTAAAAAACATTAGCCAAGCAAAAGTTAAGAAAGAAAAGAGCAAGTGCCAAGTGCCTAATTTGCCTAGACACCCACCTGGTGATTTGGGGAAAGGGACAGCCTGAAATAGCAATATCTCCTCTTCTTTTTCTGACTCCTCGGCCATTCTTGCTCTCAGCCAGCCTCCTATGGCCATGAGACCAAAAAATAAATAAATAAATACAGTTGGCTCTCCATATCCAAGAATTCAGCATTTGTGGATTCAACAAACAAAGAACCAAAAATACTGGGGAAATAAGTTGCATCTGTACTAAACATGAATAGACAATTTTCCTTGTCATTATTCTGTATAACAGTATAGAGTATACCAACTATTTACATAAAATTTTATTAGATACTAAACACAATTGAAAGATAATTCAAAGTATAGCTGAGCATGGTGGTGCCTATAATCCCAGCAACCTGACAACTAAGGGAAGAGGATTACAAGTTTGATACCAGCCTGGGTAACTCAGCAAAAAGCTTGTCTCATAACAAAAACAAAAACAAAAAGGGTTGAGATGTATCACAGTAATGTCCTACCATGTACAAGACCCTGGGTTCAATCCCTTGTACCAAAAAAAAAAAAAAAGAATAAATGTTTGCATAGTCTACTTATAACTGCTATGCTATTTTATATAAGGGACTTGTGCATTTTCAGACTTTGGTATCCTTAAGTCTTGGAACCAATCTTCCATTGATACTGAGAGGCAACTGTGTCTTTGTGCTTCAGAATTTAAAATGGGCAAGGTGTTACGAAAGTGCAGGAATCAGGGCAGGGGTTCCTTTCCTCAGAGTCCAAGAAAAGCACTGAGACTATTTATTATTGTTATACTTTGGATCTGGAATGTTCCCTGAAGGCTCATGTGTCGAAGGCTTGGTCCCTAGCTGGTGATGCTATGGGGAAGTGGCGAAAACTTTAGGGAGTGGGACCTCACTGAAGAAGGTTGGTCACAGGGGGTGAGCCTTTGAAGGGTTTTGGTTTTTGTTTTTGTTTTGGGGTTTGTTTGTTGGTGGTGGTGGTGGGGTTTTTTTGTACCCAGGATTAAACCACTCAGCCACATCTCCAGTCCTTTTAAAAAATGTTTTGAGACAAGGTCTCCCTTAGTTGCTGAAGCTGCCTTTGAACTTGTGATACTACTGCCTCAGCATTTTCTTTTTTCTCCTAGAACTTGCTTGCACTCTTGCACTCATGCTCTTGCTCTTTTGCACATACACGCAAGTGGGCTCTGTATCTCCCTGCAATTGTGCTTCTTGGTCACCAGGAAGTGAGTAGCTTTGCTCCACCACATATTTCCTGCCATGACGTTCTGCCTCATCACAGGTCTACATCAGTCGGGCCAAGCACCTATGGTCTGAAACCTCTGAAATCATGAGCCCAAATAAATCTTTCTTGGTTTTTTTTTTTCGCAGGGGGAGGGGCAGGGGACAGAGGGCAATATTTTAATCACAGTGACGTCTGACTAACATGATTATTAATTTTCAAATTTTATTTCTTCCTTTAAATGAACTACTGTTCTTGGTGTGTTCTGCAAAAAACTTCTAGAATTTAATTCTGTATAACAGGGTAATTTACATTAATTATACCACTCATCTTGATTTCTCTTGTTGCATATTCTATTAGTCTTTATGAGTTCTTTGTTTCTAATAGAAAAAAAGGGTTTTGGATTTTGTTTTTCATGCTGCTGGGGATCTATCACAGGGCTTAACGCATACCAGGCAAGCACTCTACCACTGAACTAAATCCTCAGCCCCAAATCTCTAAGTCTTTAACAAATTAAATTAAGAGTCTTCAACTTATTGTTTCTAATAGAAACATTTCAGTATATTTAATATTTATATTGTATTTTATATTTATTCATATTTTGTATTTATATATTATATATTATATATGTAAGCTATGTAAGTAAATTGAGTAAATTTTCATTTTATTTGTGTTTGAATTTTCTTCCCAGCCTATGAAAATACATAGTTGAAAACCTTTATAATAAGGTAGAACTTCTAGTAACCCGCATACATTTGGTGCTGGACATTGAAGTTGTGATAGGCAGCAATCTAAGATGATTCCCAAGGTCCCCATCCTCTGGTTTACAAACACTTTCTCCAAGTTGGTCAGCCAATAACTACTTAGGTACAGCTATACAGAGATTTTGCTGTTTATTTATTTGGTGTTGAGAACTGAACCCAGGAGTACGTTAAAATTTGAGACAGGGTCTTGCTAAATTGCTGAGGGTCTAGCCAAATTGCCAAGGCTGGCATCAAATTTGAAATCCTGCCTCAGCCTCCTAAGTAGCTGGAAAGGCATGAGCGAGCCACCACACCCAGTGTTATAAAGGGATTTTGTAAGAGGCAAGTAATTTTCCAAATCAGTAGATCTTAAAATGGGGAGATTATCTTGGGTGGGCCAGAGTAATCAGCTGTGGCCTTTTTAAAAAGACACGCCCTACTTGATAGTTTCATAGCAAAAAAAGAATTTTAAAATGAGGGAAACTCCCTATGCTGGCTTTAAAGATGAAATAAGCCATGTGCCAAGGAATGCAAGTGACCTCTAGTTGCTAAGGGTAGCTCCCACTAAAAGCCTGCAAGGAAATGTAACAGTGAGAAACTGAATGCTAATACAACATGCGATATTGGGAAAAGACTCCAAACTGCAGATGAGATGGCAGCCAAGCCTTGTGAAACCCTGAATAGAAAACTCAGCTACATCATACCCAGACTTCCACCCTAAGAATTGTGATAATAACTAGTATTGGTTTTAGTTACTAAATTTGTGGTAATTTCTTATTTAGCAATATAAAACTAATCCAATAGGACGTCATTATATTAAGATGTGACCCCTTCATCATAGGATGCTGTCAATCAGCACAGTAGAGACTGCAGTATTCCTGGAACCCATTTCTACACCAGACAGCTCCTTATAATAAACAATATAGACACAAGTGACCAAGGAAATATATCCTATATAACTATTGTACTCCCAATTGATAATCTCCTGTAGATCATTATCATTAAAAAAATCTAAACACAAGGGAAACTGTAATTGATTAAAAGTTAAAATGAGAGACATCATAATTAACTGAGCAAGGTTTAAATATTTTACTTTTTTCAATTTTTATTTAAAAAATAAAATTGATCATGTGGTGGCCTTGAAAGAAGTTCATGCAAATGAGGAATCCTGAGTTTAAGCCTCATTGACTTCAGAGTAAATCTCTGTCTCCATTCTTAGCACCTGACATATAAATATCAGGTCTCAAATATTCTTTCTTATATGTGTTTTAGTCAGCTTTTTCACTCTGTGACTAAAAGACGTGGCAAGAACAAGTTGAGGAGGAAAAGTTTATTAGAGGCTAGTGGGTTCAGAGGTCTTAGTCCAAAGATAGCCAGCTCCATTCCTCGGGGCTCAATGTGAGGTAGAACATCATGGTGGAAGAATATGGCAGAGGGAAGCAGCTCACATGAAAATCAGAAAGAAGAGAGACTCCCTTCACCAGATACAAAAGTATGTACTCCAAGGCATGGCCCCAATGCCACCTCTTCCAGTCATAACCTTCCATCTTCCACAGTTAATCCCATCTGAGGATGACTCCACTGAATGGGTTTAGGCTCTTATAACCCAATCATTTCTCCTCTGAACCTTCTTCCATTGTCTCACACATTGGTTTTAGGGGACACCTCATATCTAAATCATAACATATAGTTACATTAAATTAATCCTTCCATAGATTGTATTTAGTTGACTTGGTGAGTTTAAATTTTTGAAAAAGCTTCTTTACTTGAAGGATGCCTATAAACTGAGTTCACTTTCAATATTCTGTGTCCTGAATCATTTATAATAAAATATATACTACACACATACATACACACACACACACACACACACACACAC